TTTTGGATGGTTTCTGTTGCTATATTCACTTTTTTTTTCCTTCTGGAAGTATTTAATTTGCTGTGAATCTCATCTAGTGTAATTTTTTCCCACCACGCACGTAGTTTTATTTTATCTTTTAAAGTTTGATTTGGGCCTTTTTTTCTATCTCCTTAACAGGTTTACACTTTTCTCTGTCTTCTCCAGTATACAAAATACAGTTAGAAAAACTGTTTAATATCCTTGTCTTCTACTTCTGTCGTCTGTATTTACTTCTAAGTGTGTTCCTACTCATTGATTTTTCTAATTGTATGTTGTATTTTCCTGCTTCATTGCATACCTGGTAATTTTTTTTATTGGTACACTTTAGATATACATAAGGATAACATTCATCATAGGGAATTTGCACCTGTACATGATATATCTTGCTGCTGCTTTTTTTTCCCATTCCCCTCCCCTCCCTTCAACCCCTCTTCCCTTCCTTGTTGACAAAAGCTTTGTTTCCATTTTTTTTTTCTTGTCCCTTCTTTCCTGGTAATTTTTGAATGAATGCCATGTATTGTGAATGTTATATTGTTGAATAGAGCCCACATTTTCTGCACAGCCTTTAAATATTTTTGAACTTTATTCTGCATCACAGCTAAGTTACTTGTAAACTATTGGCGATTTTTAACCCTGATTTTTCCGCTTTGTTAGGCCAGACTATGATACCCTTTAACTTAGGGACAATTTTACCTACACTATTGAGGCAATACCCTTCTGGGTTCTCTGTCCATACCCTTTGTGTGTCTCAGGGCTTTTTATTTTTCCAGTTTCTGATGAGAATGTGATGTATTTCTAGTCCAGATGTGAGCTCACAAAATTATTCTTTCTATTCCTTTCCAGTAGTCCTTTCACCCATCTCCGTTTTTTCCTAGTATAACATGCACTGATCATCAGTTGGTCAAAGGGGCACTCTCTACTTCACAACAAGCATGTCTCTCTAGCTTCTCTTCATTGTGTAGCTTTATGTCTCATTTGTGGAGCCCCTTAAACTATAGTTACCTGGGCCTCCCTGAATTCTCAAATCTGTCCTTAACTCAGGAAGATTGCTGGGTTCTGTTTAGCTTCCTCATCCTGAGTTGCAACCTGGAGCTTTTCTAAGCAATAAGTTGGTGCACTATGGAGCTCACTTCATTTCTTTTTCTTTTTTCAGGGATGCCTGTTTTCCAGTGCCTGGACATCATTATTTTTTAAAAGTATATTTTTATTTAATCCTAGTGGATTTTTATTTGGTCTGTTACTCCATCCTGACTGGAATTGAAAGTCCCTTTGAAGTTACCTTGTGCAGTGATAAGTTATATAACTTTATATCTTTAGAGATGGCAACTTTAAACTGGTGGCTTACCACTTATCTCTTTAGCTGTGCCAGGTAGGTTCCATTAGATTATCCAGAGCCCCTTCAAGTTGTTGCATTTAGGTACATAGAACTCAGCATTTAATATTTAGTAAGTAAGTGTGAGGGGAAGCCTTGCATATTATCCATGCTTAATGGATATACATGAATGTGCATATTTATTCAAATAAGTTAACCACTATCTCATTGAAACTGGGGCCATAAGATCTTGAACTTAATATAAGAATAACATAGTTCCTTTTTAAACCACAAACCAAGTAATAAACCCAACAGAGCACACACAAAAAATAGAGGAAGAATTTGATTGCCAAAATCCAAAATAAGAGCTGAGCCTGAAGCTCAGTGGTGCTTAGAACACATGTGGCTCTGGGTTCAATCTTTCCTACACCAAAGCAAACTCCAAAATAAAATATTAGCAAGTTAACTCTAGTACTGCACTGTCATGCTAGTTAACATTTTTTGGTGACATAGTCTGCTACTCTTAGGTAGTATATTGATTCTAATTTGATTTGATTCTAATCATTAATACAGAGAGGGGGGATATTATCTTTTTATAGAAGAAGAAATTGAATTTTAGAATTGTAAAATGGCTAGTCATATAGGTAGAAGAAATGGTTGAGATTTGAATCCAGCATTGAACTTTTAACCATAATGTTATAAGTTCGTAGAAGCAATTTTGTCCTGAAAATATAAATATGATTTAATATAATGAAATATTTGGTAATTTGCTGTTGCTATGATTGTAAATACAGAAAACTGAGGAGAATCATCTGAAATTTCTAATAATTAATGTGACTTTAGGAAAAATCTTAGGCAAATATTAAGTGTATGGAAATCAGTCACTTCAAGAAAGGGGAGAAGTAATTTTTACTTCCCTGAAACAAAACAGAATAAAACAAATTGGGAAGAATGGGAGGATATTTTTAACAAGAAAATGGAGGAGGTATAAGTAAGCTAAAGATCTCCAATAATAGAACACTTCAAGTCTTTCTAGATAGGAGATGTCAAAGTTGTAGAAGTGTTTTTTCTTTGTAAATATGTAAACTTAAAATATTGCCAGTCGAATGATTTTTAGAACTAATACCTGATCTAAAAGTTCATATGGTAGGCTGAGGATTTAGCTCAGTGGTTCCGCTGCCTGCCTTGCAAGCACAAGGTCCCGACTTCGATCCCCGGTACCAAAAAAAAAGAAAAAAAAAAATCTAAAAGTTCATATGGTAGAATCTCAACTTACAGATTGAGATTCTCCCATCTGAAATGCTTGAGACCAGAAATGTTTCAGATTTTGAAGTTTTTCTGGATTTTGGAAATATCCAAAATATCAAGTATATTTGCATATACTTGACCAGTTGAATATGCCTAAATCAAAATGCTCTAAAATCAGAAACTTTGTCCTGTCAGTGCTCAAAAAGTTTTAGATTTTGAAGCATTTGGGAATTTTGGATTAGAGATGCTCAGTCTGTACTTATCTTTACAAAAGAAAAGAACATATAACATTAGGCATTATTTTGGGTGTCAGGCATAATTTTGCTAACAGGTATACAGCAATGGTCAAAATATGCAAAAATTTATAATATGTCATTTGGGAAAGTGGGCAGTAAATCTGGTAAAAATTGTTAATTTGTGTAAAATAAAGATAAGATGACCTTATGAATCTTTTCTGTCATACACAGTTGCAATTTAATGTCAGACTCTTTACATAGACTACACATATTACTTTTCTGTTTTTCTCTTTCCTCACATTTAAAATAAGGAATCAGATTAAAATTGTAGTGTTCTAACTCTGATGTTATATGTTCTGTACATACTTTTAAGTTTGTGGTAGAATTCAAGAAGGAGAGAAACTATTTGGTGCCAGTCCCCCAAAGGCACTTCACAGAAGCCAGTTCTGACCAGAATGGAGTCCAGAGACAGGGCATCAGATGAAGCCCACTGTGGGCCTGTGTTCTGCTATAGACTGTTGTATCCAAGATTCTTCCTTGAGTTGTGTTAAAAAGCTAAGGCAAGAAGTGATTTAAGTAGGGAGATGAGCAACGACATGAGATGTTTTCAAGGATGTTAGAATGAGTTTGAAAACTGAATGTTGTCTAGGTACTCGGCACTTGCAGTCTTTCATCCTCTCTGAAGTACTGAATCAGAATCTGGCTTCCATACAGACACAGGAAGACTCAGAGGTAGTGATTTTGTGTGTGGACTGCAGGTAGAAGGAGAGTGAAGAGAGAATGCAGTTACTGTTCTTTTAAATCTGTTTTCACCAAGGATCTTGTGTCAAAATGATCACTGGATATGCAAGGGATGTGTCTGACATACAAAAATAAGAAAGTACAGTACTGTTGGAATTAGTGATGGCTAAAGTGATAAAAATAGTTTCCTGAGAGTCAAAGCGGAAAGCCGCTTAGATATAGGCACTAGACCTTGGAGGTAAGAAGAGACAGATGGAACCATCAGTGGTATAAGTAGGAGACCAGGATAGTGTAGTACCCTGCATCTAATATCAAAGGTTGTGTGTTGTGTTGTGTTGTGTTGTGTTGTGAACATAATCAGGAAAGTGCTAACCAATAAGGATGTTGATGATCCTTGAGTAGGCACTGGTAATGATTGAGATTGCCATAAATGAAGGTTGTAGTAATATTTATACATATCAAATAGCTTAAAGTTTAAGGGTTGGTAACTAGAGTACTGAATGCTTACTAATTCAACTTTAGTCTCTTAGGCTATAGCCCTAGAGATTTTAGAATATATCAGATGGGCTAGAGATGTAGTTCAGTGGCGCCACCCTGCCTAGCCAGCAAAAGTTCCTGAGTTTGATCCCTGGTACTGGGAAAAAAAAAAACCAAAAAAGCTGTATCAGAGACCAGTAAGCCTTTTCTTCATAGGGGCAGAGATTAACTGTTTTAGGCTTTGCAGGCCATAATGGTCTCTGTAATAGCTACTAACTTGGCCTTAGCATGCAACTAGAATCTGATAATATGTAAACAGGTGGCTGTGACTGTGTTCCAAAAGAAATTTACAGAAACAGCTGATGGACTACATAATACATGTACCCTTGAACGAGGAACCTCTGCTTTTCTGCTTTGGGACACTTTTTCTGTATTATTCATTTGTTCTGTTTGATTTAAGATGCAAATTAACATTGGCTAATTTCTCTCTAATAAAAATTATTGAAATCTTGCCTCAGAACGTGCACTTCATATGGACCATATAATGATGCTTTGGTCAACATTGGGCTACATAAACAGCTGTGGTCCCATAAGATTTTGTTGAAACTAAAAGATTCCTGTCACTCAGTATTTTTATTATATCTTTTTAAAGTTAGATATATTTAAACATATAAGCACTTACCAATATGTTACAGTTTCCTATGGAATTTAGTCCATAACATGCTGTATAGGTTTGTCGCCTAGAAACAGCAGGCTACCCCACATAGCCTGAGTGTGTAGTGTAGTAGGCTATACCATCTAGATTTGTGTAAGTACAGTCTCTCACCTAAGGATGCATTTCTCAGACTATATCCCTGCTGTTAAGTGATACATGACTATAGTGAATAGTTTAATGTGGCTTAAATTGATTTGTTGCCTTTTATTATTTTACCTATTTTAATAATAATTTGCATTTACTTTTTCAGTCTCGGAGAAATCTATGTGAAGAGGCTTTGTTAAAAATCAAAGGTGTTATTAGCTTTACTTTTCAAATGGCTGTTCAAAGATGTGTGGTACGAATCCGTTCAGATTTGAAAGCAGAGGTTAGTATTATCAATGTCTAAATATGCTTGAGGTTACAGGTAAACAAATCAGTGTTCAAAACTGTTCCTTTTTATCCTGGCCCAGGCATTGGCATCAGCAATAGCATCAACCAAGGTCATGAAAGCCCAGCAAGTTGTGAAAAGTGAAAGTGGAGAAGAGGTAAAAGATTCAGTTCTTTTTTTTTTTTTTTTTTTGGTCCCGGGGATCTAACTCAGGCCCTTGTGCTTGCAAGGCAGGCGGCAGCACCACTGAGCTAAACCCCCGGCCCTCAGTTCTTTTTTTTATACTTAATTCAGACTCTTGATTATTTTATGTGTCGAAGACTGCTAGTGTTTGTAGATCCATAGTTATCAAATATAATAAAAGTAGTTTCTTGTTTAACAGCTGTTTTAGAAATATAGAGGTCTTTTATGGATTTCAGAGTCCACCAGTGTGAAGAAAACTTCTTTTAACTCAGTGGAGATAACCTTACTGATTTTAAACGGAAATAAAGGATACTTGCATTGATTTCTTTTAAGGGCTTTTGTTCTAACTTTAACTAGTTTTAGCAGTCCAAAACAAAAAATGTGTAACTGTTGGACAAGTACATATGGTGAAAATCCTTGCCTATTGCTACCCTTTCTAGACCTTGTGATTGAGAATATCAGTTTATATACTTTGAGCTCATTTGGGTTCCTTTAGATAGGTTCTGTGGGTCTCCAGGGGCTCAAAGGGTCCCAGTTCTTGCCTTAGTCATTTTTACATAACATCTGCATTATCATTTGTAGTTCTTCCATTTTTACACAGTACTCAGCTTTTAGGCCAACTGTCATGCAGGAGGAAAGTTTTAGAAGAAACAGAGCTGAGAATAAATATGGAGCCAGGTGTGGTGGCACACACTTGTAATCCCAGCACTCTGGGACCCTGAGTCAGGAGGATCACAAATTCAAGCCCAGCCTGGGCAGCTTAATGACTTAAGTAAGACCATGTCTTAAAGTAAAAAATAAAAATGGCTGGGGATGTAGTTCAGTGTGAAGGCCCTGAGCTTAATCTTCAGCACAACACAAATAAAAAACAGACAAGGTAATTAGAGTGAGGAATAAAGCTGACTTTAATTTAAGAGAGCTAAGTGTGTTGGCCCATGCCTGTAATCCCAGCACTCAGGAAGCTGAGGCAGGAGGTTCGCCATGAGTTCAAGGCCAGCCTTGGCTACATAATGAGTTCAAATCCAGCCTGAACTACACAGTGAGACCCTATCTCAAACCAAAATCGAGAACTCCCAAGACCCCCCAAAACTTTATATATATATCACATTTAATTGATTTTGTAATATCTCTTAAAATGTTCTCTGTATCAGATGCTGGTCCCATTCCAAGATACTCCTGTGGAAGTAGAAGAGAACACAGAGCTGCCTGACTACTTGCCTGAGGATGAGAGTCCCACAAAGGAGCAGGACAAAGCAGTGTCTCGGGTTGGCTCCCATCCTGAAGGTGGAGCTGGCTGGCTGAGCACAGCAGCAAACTTTTTATCCAGATCATTTTACTGGTGACTTCATCTTCAGTTTGGGGCTCAAAGACTGTGTGAACCAACAACAAGCCAGTTTTCCATTGTGATGAACTGTCAAGTGCAATTTGCAATAAGTTATCATGAAAAGTTTTTAGATTACATGATTGTGTATGCTGCATTTTACATTTTCTTGGACATTTTACTCCACTGAGTGGTAAAAAGAACAGAGGCTACAGGTGGAATATATTTGCTTGGGAAAGTATTTTGGTTTTGTTTTCCTTTAATTGCCTCACTTTTTAAAAAAAACATGGGTCCACTGTTAAACCAAACATGTATTGCAGCTTTACATTTTATTTTATATGAAGCACGTGATTAGGAAAACTTATTTTCTCCTCAAGCCTCAGGTTCTATCTGAAGAGAAGTTTGTAGTTGAAGTTGTGCATGAATTTCTGAACATTTTTCTCTGCTTTTCTTCGTGAACAGTACATGCTTTGGTACTCTTCACTGAAAGTTGGAAACATTTCTGATTTACTCCCTTTCTGTGCCTTTTTTATTGGCCAACCATGTTTATAGAAAGGATATTACTAATGACAGTTTGAAAATTGAAATTTATCCACTGAAACATAGTTATCTAAAAATACAACTGAAAAACTTTGCAGTCTTGTTATTTTAATAAGAATAATGCAAAAGTCAGTCAGAAAAAGGAAACAAGTGTAGTAGTAAAGTGCTTTTGGCTCTATCTGGATATGACCAAATATGGTTCTAATTGTTTGCTGTTCTCTGTTGATGTCAGCTCATGAGATTAAGCCCACCATGATATTGTCAGTAATTATAAATGGTCTCTTGGCCTTACATTGATATTAGAGAACATCCCCTGGTAAGGAAAAAAAAAATAGTAGTAAAGAACTGACAAATTTGAAAGAAGAAAAACAAAAATTTAATGCCTATAATGCCATAGTGCCACACTGGTAGCATCTAACTTTAAAATATGAATGCCTGGCTGAAGCCTACTTAATAGGTATTTCTTTATATTGCCTTTTGTGAACTATAAAAATGCCACAGTTATACTGGAGGGAAAAAAAAAGACCCAAATTACTGCTTATAAAGAAAGCCAGCATTGGTTAATCTTTCTCGTGTCCAGCCAGAAAAAAAGAACTTCAGTGAAGATAAAATTAAAAAAAAATTTATATATGTTATATATATATTATATATATGTATATATATAATATATATATAACATATATATTATATATATGTATATATAATATATATATAACATATATATACACATATATACATATATATGGTGTTTTGGGGTAGGTAAGAGCTAATTACATCTATGTAATACTTCATTAAAGCTCTAAAACACTTGGCAATTAAGATTTTGTTTTGAAAGTCCAGCTATATCCAGATGTGTTTTAATGTTAACATGATTAAAAACTAATAGAAATTGAAGTTCATTTTCATCACCATGTAGAGCTGCTATTTTACTACTTGGAGAATGTAAAGCAAAAATTGGACCCTGGAGGGTTTTCTTATGTTTTCCTCACTTCTCTTTTAGAGAAAATTAAAATCATCCAGTCTTACTGGAGAAAAGTAATTGTAAAATACTACCACTGAAAAGTCTTGAGTTCCCTAACATTGGGATCTCCTGGAAGGAGAGGGAGAGGTATTGAGGGTATTAAGAACAATAGTTTTTCATGTGTCTGGTCTCTGATTCAAGTAATACGCACAAACAGAAAATAGAAGCTTTCAGGGCACATACTGCTTTAAATGCATACTACCAACTTGCTGCCAGAACCAGATGTGTTGAAAAAAAGAAAACAAACCACCTCCTTTCTATAGCCATTAAAGCAAAGTTTACTTTCTGTTTAACAAGTTATTTTATTTTACATTGCTGCACATCTGCTTATTTAATAAACTACATCTCTTTGGTAGTAATGGTTCAGTACATGTAGGTATTTCAGCTTGATGTTCGTGTGTTTCAAGTATTCGTTTATTCCAGGTCTTATAGAGCAGTTAAGGCAACTGTAATGACATTTTCTTTGAAATATATTGTAAAATAATAAAAGGTAACATAATTGAATGGATATGACATTCTGGTCATTCTTGTCATATAAGCATTCTTAGTTCCTTTTTGTTTTGTCATCAGTGCTGGGGATCAAACCCCAGGAACTCACTCACACTAGAGCTACACCCCCAGCCCACTGATTACTCTTAAGCCTATTTGTACACATGGTGCCTGGCACATTTTCCCCGTTCTCTACCCTTGTATTACTTGACTTGTTTCCATGTGTCTTTCATTCATCTCCTTTCCCACACCACACCTGCCTCTCCCCAGGATTGGGTAGGTTGTTCCTGGACATGTACTGATTATAGCATTTATCACATGTTTAAATTTGCATATTGGCTATCCCTTACTAAGTTCTTTGAGAGAGTCTTTAAATCTTTATGTTAATGTTGTAACTCTACCTGGCCAATAATAGGTCAAATTTTGGGGAGAAGAATGAACAAAGAATTCTTTAGAAATCAGTAAAAATGAATGTACTTATTTATTATTTAATAAATGCCTCCATTAATTTTGTTGTTTAGGGTATTTTTTTTTTAACATGCGAAGGAGTACTTGCTACATTGAAGTTAGGATTAACTCATCCTGATTTTTGAAAAAAATTGTGCACTACTAGAGATTGAAATCAGGATCTTAACATGCTAGGGCAGCATTGTTGTCACTGAATACATCCCCAGCCATTTAATAAAAAATTTTTAAGATAGCATCTCACAGAGTTGCCCAGTTGACCTTCAACTTGGGATCCTTCTGTCCCAGCCTCCTGAGTAGCTGGGATTATGGGTGTATACCCCATCATGCCGGGTTTTATCATGATTCTTACAGAATTGTTAGAGGAGAATGTTCTATATATGTAAAATAGTGGTTTTGATTTCTTGTTTTATACTAACTGTGATCCTAGGCAATAATTTAATCTCTGAACTTTTCTTCATTAGAGATAATGCCTCTACTTCTTGGGGTCATTGTTAGAATTCAATGATCTCATGAGTGCATTGAAAACTAAAAGCTTACTGTTGTGCAATGGAATTATTGCTACTAGCTATTTGACATGATTTTCTCATCCTTGATTCTCATATATTATACTTTGTAATCATGCTCTGACTATAGATCCACTCGGTTTTTAAAAAAAATTTGCTCGTACACTGTTACCTAAATTTTCTTTCTTGAACAATTTATCAGTTCTAACATTTCAGTTACCTTTGTTTAAATAGCTTTTAAATCGCTACTGTTTTGACAACTCTCCTTTCCTTTGCAGTACCTACCAAATGTAAAGTCTGAGTTATTTCTATTAGATCCAATCTCATTACACTTAAAAGCTAATTGTGTGCCAGGCTGTATTGTAATTGCTTTACAAATATTTACTAATTTAATTCTTAGCAAACATGGGGTCAGTACTCTTTATTATTATGGCTTAGATCTGAAATGTCCCCCAGAAGTCTTAAGTGCTCAGGAGTGGGACCTGGTCAGAGGGAGCATGACCTGGATGAGTGTATTTTTGTCCCTAGGTCCTCCTCTCTGCTTCCTGGCTGCCATGAGGTGAGCAGCTATCTTCCACCATGCCCTTCTAGTATGTTTCTGCCTTGGAGCCTTCTGACTATGAACTGAATCCTCTGAAAACCATGAGCCAAAATAGACCTCTCCTCCTTTAAGTTGGAAGTGTTCAGTAGTTTGGCCTAGCAATGGGAAAGTGAGTAATACAGAAAATTGGTACCAGGAATTGATTTATTGCTGTGACTATACCCTGACCATGTGGTTTAGAAGCCTTTGGAAATGGTTTGTGGGAGGAGTTAGGAAAGCTTGGAGATGCTGGCTAAAGAAGGCTTAGAATGGTGTAAGCAGAACTTGATGGGCAGTTCTGGTGGGAACTCAGAAGACTAGAATGCAGACGAATATGAAAAGAAAAGGTGAGGGTATGAGGTTTCAGTTGGGAACAAGACTATTGAAACAACTACAAGTCATGTATATTTCATTTTGGCAAAGAACTTGTCTGCATTTTGCCTGTACCCGGAGACTTCGCAGGAGACTGAGATTAAAGGTGGTTGGATAAATTGATCGAGTGGAGGAAATTTCATGTCAGCCCACTGTTCAGGCTCTGGTATGGATACTGTTGGCTTCTTTTAGTCAGATGTACAGTGGGAATTGAGAAAAAAGAGCTAAATGATTTGAAAAATTTGCAGCCTGGCCAGAAAAGAATCTGTAAAATTGAAGGGGAGAGCTTGATTGCTAATACAATGAGCATTAAAAAGAAGCTGAGTAATTTGCATCAGGACAATAGGAAACATTCCTTGAGCACATGTAATGAACCAGCAAGATCCCACCCTTCACAGGCTCAAAATTGCAAAACTGAAAGACTTTGCTTTGAGAAGAGCCTCAAGGTGCATTGCTCTTTCAAGATCAGTTAGAGAAATATATCTGGAGTTCAGCCATTCAGGCACTCATAGGCCACTAAGGCCATGGTCCAAGGGGCCAGGTTAATGCTCAAGCTGGTGGTAGACCTTGGTATCATTCACATGGTGCTGGTTTTTCAGTCATGCAGAATGCAAGAGTTGTGAGGTCATGGAGGCTTCCAGCCAGATTTCAGAAGAAGGCTTGGGAGGCCAGGCAGTGTGTCCCTGAGAGGGCGATGTGCAAAGCTATGAGAGTGAAGGCAAAAGAGCAATGGAGACTCCCAAGAAGTTGGAGATGCCCGGAACATGAGATATCTGCCAAAGAAAACTAGGAAGCAAGGAGAGCCAGCCTGAGAGAGGGCATGTGAGTTATAACTGTAAAGGCCACAGGGCAGGGCTGCCCAATCCCTTTGGATCTCACATCACAACTTCCCCCAGGTGCTAGTCATGGAGCTACAGGACATAGTATTTGCCCTGCTGGTTTTCAGTCTTGCTTTGATCCAATTTCTTTTTGTTCCTCTTAGCCTGCTGTTTGGAATGGGAATGTTTACTCTGTGCCATTGTATGTTGGAAGTATTTAACTTTATTTGATTGCTTCAGGGTCTCACAACTGAATTTGCCTTGAGTTTCAGAGGAGACTTTGGACTTGGATTTTCTGGCAGTGATGGAACTGTTAAGACTTTGCAACTCTTGGAGATAAACTAAATGCATTTTGCATAATGAGAAGAACATGAGCCTTTAGGGATCAGAAATGGAATATTATGGCTTAGCTCTAAAGTATCTTCCAAAAGGCTCATGTGCTCAAAGGTGGGACCTGGTCAGAGAGGCACTAGGTCTTGGGGACATGACCTGGAAGGGTATATTTTTGTTCCTGGGTCCTCCCTTCTCTCTCTGCTTCCTGGCTGCCATGCATTCTACCATCTTGCCTTTATACCATAATGTTTTTGCCTGGGAGCCAGCTGACTATGGACTGAATTCCCTGAAATCTGTAAGCCAAATCACCTCCCCCCTTAAGTTGTGAATGTCATATATTTTGTCCCAGTAATATTCAATCATTATTTTACAGATGGGGACAAATGAGAGATTAAGTGACTCATTAGTGGCAGGTCACAGAGCTAGTAATTGGGAGGAGGGGGGCAGGACTCAAACCTAGGCAGTCGGGTACCAAGTCTACACTCTCAGGAGGCAGCATTCTACAGTATCCAGTGGAAAGTCACACTACTACTTTTGGACCTTGGTCATTGGTTCCTCTCACCAGCCATTGTCAACTAATTTTGTGTGCCCATCAGAAATACTTTATAAGCTTACAGATTTTTAATATTTTTCTATTCAAATGGAATATACCTTTTCCCATTTAAATTGTCTTGAAATTATTCTATCTTCATGTATAAAGTAGCTTCCTTAATTCACAGCTTCACAGTATTCTATAATGTATTAATATTCTGTAATATATTTAACTGGTGCTTTTTTGGGGTAAGTTTTTGCTTTTACAAAATAGGGCTATGAAAGTATATCTGTAGGATGGATTCCTGTTGTAGAATTGCTGACTCCAAGGCCATGTTTTTAATTTGGATGGTTTCTGCCTCCTTAGAGATTATCCCTATTTTTATTCTCACCAGCGAGGTGGGGGTTCCTGGGTTACTCCTCAGCCTCTACCCAAAGGTAGCTCTTTACCATTTAAAAATATAGTGGTACCTTGGTTCACAAACACTTCTGTTTGCCTACAATTTGGTTCACAAACAGAAATGTTTGGTAAAATTTTATTTTTGTTTAAAAACTGTACATCAGGTGACAAACACAACTGCAGCCATCTTTTCCAAAATCATAGAATGGATTAAGCACTGAACCATAGTATCATTGTAATGGCATCTCTTATGAATGAAAGTGGGCTTTTATGTATTTAAAATATGTTTAAATATTTTTTTTCCTCTGAATTTACTTTTTGTTTCCCCATGGGGGGGTAGTTTTTACTTACGTTAAAAACTAACACACTAAAAAGACTTCTTTCCTATTTTCTGAACTCAAACATTTGAAACTCGAACAACATTTTTTTCGTACCTGCTATAGACTTAACTTGTTTGGGACCTGTTATGATTCTTTACTTTTCATAAATATATTTCTTATTGAGATCAAGAGCTCTATAAAGAGGAGGGAGTGTTTCTTAGGTTTTCCTGCTCTTTGCCACAATACATACCCTAATTCTTTGTATGCTGACCATTTGCAAAGTGTTTACTGAATGAGTTATAGTGATGAAACAGTAATAGTGTATTTCTGAGTTAGATATGAATCTTTTTTTTTGTACCAGGAATCGAACTCAGGACCTTGTGCTTGCCAGGTAGGTGTGGTGTCACTGAGCTAAATCCCTGGCCCTAGAGATGAATCTTTGGTGTACTGTTCTTGTCTGGATCTCAATTGTAGCACATCTGCACACCTGGATCACTGCTACTGGCTTCCTAACAACATTTTACATTACTTGGGCATTTACTGTCTTCTTGTGTTCCCAGGTCCTTTTCTTGTGTTACTTTAAGAAACTACAGAATCATAATTTAGAACAAAAACTTCTATACAAGACCTTTGTTTGTTAGCTAGATGTCTTTGTTACTTCATTAATTGCTCAGCCCTGTATGGCTTTTTAGTA